AGGTCGTTTTTCAAAACATTCTGATGGCTCCCAAGGATCATCCAAGGATCAAATCGGCCCCATAGCACACACTGCCCCTGGAGTAGGGTCCTGTCTTTATTTGCCTTTTTTTCCTTCACATGCTGGTACAAGTGAGCCCCACCCTGCCCGCCAATGTACATTTCATTTCTCATTTTCATTTCATAGAGACAATCTGGTACCCACTCTTCCCTTGGCCATAAAAGCCAATTCCCCAATGTCATAACGTTTTTTATTGGTCTTTGCTTAGGCATCATCTCTGTGAAGTCTTTCCTTCTATCCTGTCCCACTTCAGGCTAATTGCTCTTCTCTGAATTTAAGTACATCTCAGACATATTTCTGTCACTGTTTTTTAAAAAGACTTATGATCTGGACCTAAAAAGGCAATTAACCCTAATCTAATGGAAACTCCTTGAAGGTTGGGCCATATCTCATTGTGTATTCTGTGCCTAGGGAAACATGAGGGGCACTTAAACAAAATGACTTGGGGGGAAAAGCAAAGGCTTTAGTTAGCCTCAATTCCAATTCTGGCTTCACCAATTAACAGCTCTATGACCCCATGAAAGTCACAAGATCTCCAAGGCCTAATCTTTTCTTCCATAAAATACAGATAATATTGTCTATTTCTCAGGACTGTCACAGACATTAAAAGAGAATGTTTATTGCAGCACCCTGCCTGCTACATCACAAAGCAGTCAAGAAGCAGTGCCAATATTCTATTATTATTATAACACAACTTTTGCTTCTTACTGGATGTGATGAAGCTAACTGTATAGGAACCTCAGCTTTCTTGCGTGTAAAATGGAGATAGCTCTTACTGATCTGATGGAGGTGTTGAGATATTAAATAAGAACACGTGGATGAAATGCCTAGCAGGTTGTCGAGAACAGGTAGTGCTCAAAAATTAAACACGACATATAGAAATATTATTGAACTCACTTTGCTGTCCATGGGGAAGAACTATAAGGTTCAAGATTATTTGACTTCAAGAGAAAAAGAGTGTAAAATTTAGTAATAAGTAATAATAGTTTCACAAGTAAAAAATGAAAATTATTCAGGTGGCATACGCAGAAGATATTCTTTTCAAAATATGCTACTGAATGAACTGGCTACCAATATGGAAAACTATGAATTCTGTCCTGCATATAAAAATTTATTCTAAGTGGATTGAAGATCCAAAAAGGTAAAATGACAAATTTCTTAAAGAAAAATATATATTTCTTAAACAAATGAAAACAATTACCAACTGTATAGGGAAAGACTGATAAGCTAGATTCTATTAAAAATCAAGAATGTTTTAATAAAAAAACCCACCATGCACGGAGTAGAAAGACAAGCCACAGCGGGAAGGGAGATTCATAATATAAATATCTGGCAAAGTTCAGAATATATAAGGAATGCCTGCAAGTCATAAAATGCCAGGTGAACCAACAGAGAAAATTGACAAAAGATTGAATTATATATTATATATATATAAAAAAGACCTCTGGCCTCTTCTTTATCTTAGAAGCCTTTGGCTTTTTCCACTGTGTTGCCATCTGCGTTGAGGGTGCAGAAGCCTGGGTGGGTGAGCAGCTAGGGCCTCAGCATGAACCAAAGCAGTAGCGCCACCTAGTGGCCACATGCCTCCCTCACATCGCCCCCTCGCTTCCTGGACAGATGAGTAAACATCAGTTTTTAAAAAATTTCAATCTCAATTTTTTTAGTACTTGTCTTAATATTGTGTGATGATATGGGAAATACTATATGTACACAGGACTTCTATTGCATATAGTTATCTTGGAAAAAAAGTGCTCATGCAGTTGTTTAAGTTTTTACCTGAACTGCCCATTTGTGCAAGGAAAACTGTTTCTACTAGAAAGAATGACAAACCATGATTACTTGACTTGGCAGTCGATATTTTCTCCAAAACAAAGTGTCCTGTTACTGGGCTGGGGTTGTGGCTCAGTGATAGAGTGCTTGCCTAGCATGCACATGGCACTGGGTTCGATCCCCAGAACAATATTAAACAAACAAACAACAACAACAAAACTAAACAAAATAAAGGTATTATGTCCATCTACAACTAAAAATATTTTTTTAAAAAGTATCCTGTTACTTCAAGGAAAACAAGGAACAGTATTTGTAGTTGATGATAAAATTCAAAACTTTAAGCAAAAAATAGTCAATTTGGAAATTTGTTTCCAACATGAGCTTGATGGCATTCTAGTATTCTGATGAGAATTACCAATGAAAGTGATTTTGGCATATTATAAAACAAAATGTATCATTCTTTTACCATATCTGTTAATCGATATTTTCCAAATGGCCAAATATCCTGATCTTCCAATATCATGCATAGGGAGGGGATCCATTCAAAAAACAGGATCCACAGTAGATTTTAATGTAACAGATGTATGCAAAGTTCACAGATATGGATTCAGATTCCACGCCACCAACCCTTCAAGAAACTATCAGTTGTTAAGTTTTGTGTAATAGCAAAGAAGAATAGACACACAAAGAATATTTGAAAAAGTTATTAAACTACTCTTTTTTCCAATAAAATGCCTGTGTAAAGCTTTAATAAAAACAAGTCCCCTAAAGATTGAATTTCACAGGCACAAGCGAGAATCCAGCTGGGGTGTAGCTCAGGGGTAGAGCATGTGCTCAGAATGCAGGAGGGCCTGGGTTCCACCCCAGCACCAGACAGACAGACAAACTAAATCTAGCTATCTTCTATTAAGTCAGATATTAAAGAAATTTTTAAAAATGCAAAACTATATCACTCTACTCACTATTTTTTTTTGTTTTGAAAAGATATTTTCATCAAAGTTTGTTATTTAGGCTGACATAAAATGGGTTGCTATTTTTAAATGCATGAGTAACTGGGTATTTTTAAAGTTTGAGTTGTGATTTCTAATGCAGTAAGTGTTGGAGGCTCCAGTAAGTTTTTGAGAGTGCAAGAGCATTCTTGAGACCAAAAAGTTTGCGATCTACCAGCAAAGTGGGTAAGGGAAGTATAAGAAAAAAAAAGTGTAAGGAAACACACACACACACACACACACACACACACAGACACTATTTACAATAAGAAATTACAAATGCTTGAAATACCCCATGGAGGTCAGACAAAAGAAGAAAAATAATAATCAAATATCAGATACTAAAAAGATATGTTTAGCATTTTAGTAAATGGATTATAAATATTAAAAAGAAAATAGAACACAAACTCTTGGGAACATTCAAAAATCACATGTAAAGACTGAGATTAATAGTGAATTTAGAATCACATAAACAAGAGTTTTATATCTAAAAGTGTATTTTTAATGAAGCTGGCTAAGCTCAGGAAAAACTGGTTTTTCAAAACAAGGGACTATGGGCTGGGGCTCAGGAGCAGAGTGCCTGCCTCGAACGTGAGAGGTCCTGGTGCTGATCCTCAGCACCACATAAAAATAAATAAATAAAAAGATACTGTGTCCAACTACAACTAAGAAAATATTAGGAAAAAAAAAAAAAAAGGGACAAGATTTGGGCAGTTTCCTGACTATCTGAGGACAGATGAGCAAAGGGAAGTGGGTGAGACTTAAAATGACAAGAATAAAAAGTTAGGCTTAGATAGAAAAACCAAACCAAGACCTTTCCTGATAGACAGTCTTTGCTCGTCTTTCCTAGAGCACTTGGGAGAGGGACAGACCTGCCATCAACACCCAATCCCCCACTCCAGTGGCCCTTCCTCTCCAGCTGTACTTCTAACCCAGAAGCACCCAGCATCTAACAGCAGCAGGACACAAACCTAGTGGCAGACCAGGCTCCCTCGACAGGCTCCAGACACAGCGCACCCACACTCTGGAAGACAGACGTCTCTATCTAATGTTAGGGCAGACACCCGACTTGGGTTTGCATTTAGAGGTTTCCAGGTGTGAGACAGGTAGAATGTAGGTGTGTCAGTGCACCGGCCAGGGATACACCTCGATGGCTGCTCAGGGTCTAAAAATTTTTACTTCAGGTCTAAAAATCTTCCCCCTCAACTGCTCTCTGGGGATTATTTTCTTAAATCTTGCCACCGTACTCTAATTAGATCACAGCCCAGAGCACATCATAGGGAGTGGGGACATCTGGAGGCCCAGCTCTGCCTCTTTATGAATGGCTGGTGACCTTAGGCAGGTCTTACTTCTCTTCCCTTCTGTGAAATAGGAGGTTACATCAGATACACCCTTCCCAACTTTATCAATCACTCCTTATTGTTCTCCACTCTCACAACAGGACCTAATATTTTCAAAGATGTTTGCCAAATAGGCTTATCTCCTATTACTTAAATAGAGGTATATAATTGCAAATCAGAGTAAAAAAGCAATGGCAGTTCACATTTATCGAGCACTTACAAGCCCCACAGGCAACTGTCCCTTCTACCCTGTCAACCCCAGCCTTACTACCTCAGCGTGGGCTCCAGACTGGGAAGTGCTCAGCTAGAGACTAAGGTCCCTGGTCTGTTGCCTTCTTCAGAGCAGAAGCCTGCATCTAATGCTGCCACCCTAACCTGCAGAGACCCTGGATGCGGCTCCCTCGTGCAGCATGCTGTTTTGGAAAACTTCTAAGTTGTTGGAGAGGTCAAGACAAAATGAAACACAAGGAACACTGGAATGCATCCCCTTCCCAAAAGTCCTTCTACATCTTTGCATTTTGCCAAAAAGCCTGGCCCGGGCCCTGTGCCAAGAGCTCTGGAATGAACAGCTGACTCAACGCCTGGGCAGTACCCTTGACTGCTGCACGCAAGCCCCAGAGAAATGACCCGGGGCAGACTCCAGGCTGTGCGCGGCCTCTGGAGAGGAGACCACGCAGCCTTCAGAACCACCTGTGTCTCCCTTTTCTGCCTGGATACACCAAGACTTGGACAGTTCTATTGAAAACACTTGGAGGCCAGGGAGGCAGCAGAGCGGCCGGCTGGGGAGGATGGCTGGATCCTGCAGCAGAGGCAGGGGCCACCTGTAGGGGACTGTACTCACCAGGGAGGCTGCCGGCTGGTGTGCGGATGGTGAGAGGGAATCCGGAGGGGGTCCACCTCTCTGGCTGTGGCAGGGGGAAACTCCCGATGGGGACTGCTCACACTAGCCTTGTCCCACTGCTCATGGATGGGTGAGATGATTCCAGACAGGATCCGAGACCGGAGCTCCTCACTGTTCTTATAGGTCCTGCGGGAAGGAGATGAGGAGTCAGTAGCTTCTCGCAGTCTTCTGGCAACCCTGCATGCCGTGTTCTGGCAGCGGCGGCGGGGGCGGCGGCCGTGATGGCCCTTGGGCTGTCTGCAGCGGTGGGATCGGGCCGTCCGGCGGACCTGGGTGAGGGGGGCAACAGCCCGGCGCTGTCTCCGAGATTTGGGCCTAAGCTTCTTAGGCATCTGAGTTGCCCCTCCTCGCTTACCACCCCATTAGAAAGAGGTGAGGGTGTGGGGGCACAGGGCCTGGACTGGCTGCCTCTGCCTGCACCCCACCCCTCCTTCAGCCTCATTGTGTGTTCATCACCCCGTGTCATGGGAAGGGTCATGGAAGGGTGAACCAGTTCCTGATCTGGGCAGGCAGGGCTCTGTGGGCTCAGGGCCCACTGCTGTCAGGAACTGGGGGTCACTGAGAAGGCTGGTCCTCTCTTCTGTCCCTTCCTGCCTGGGGCTCCTTTTTCTGCCTGAGAGACAAGCAACGGGGTGCGGCTGAGGCGCTGGGCAGGCTGGGACTCCAGTCTCCTGGGGTTTTACCATGAGCCACGGTCTGGGCCACAGGACAAAGCACATAACTGAAATCACACAGAATGTGTTCCCTGACCATACGGAGTCCCGTTAGCAATGCAACAAAAAGGAAGTCTTTAAATACAGGGACATTAAACAAAGCACACTTCTATATAATCCAAGGATCAAAAAAGAAGTCCTGAAAAAAATTATACCATACCGAATTAGAATGAGAACAACATATTAAAACATGTGGGGTCTAGCTAAGGACTGCTGAGAGGAAACGATCACATTCAGTGCGTGCATCGGAAAACAGGAAAGGCTTCAGATCGATAACCAAAATTCTGACCTCAAGAACCTGGAAAACGGGCTGGGGAGATAGCTCAGTTGGTAGAGTGCTTGCCTCGCATGCACAAGGCCCTGGGTTCAATCCCCAGCACCCCCCCCAACACACACACACACAAAGAAGAACCTAGAAAGAGGAAAGCAAATTAAACCCAAAGCAAGCAGAGGTAAAGAAATAAGAAAGTAAGAAATCAGTAACATTGAAAACAGGAAAACAATAAGAGAAAATTAATGAAACAAAAAGCTGGTCCTTCAAAAAATGAATAACATCGACAAACTTCTATTAAAATTGACAAACAAAAAAAGATAAGATACACTAAGTCAAGAATGAAATGGAATATTATAAAAGATCTGTAACCACTGAAAGGATAAGCGAATGCTTAGAAAAACTTAATCCAACAACTTAGAATAACTGATTCTTCCTAAACTATAACTAAAACATTTCTGAAATATATAATCTAAATAGTTCTCTTAGAGTAACTGAATTCATACTTAAGCAAGCCCTTCCCCCAAATCTTCAGTTGTAGATGATTACTTTTAAGTCTACTAAGTATTTAAATAAGAATTAACACCAATTTTACTGTTGCTCCCAGAAAATATAAGAGGAGAGATTGCTTCCAAAGTCAGTTTATAAGTCAGTATTAGTCGAATATCAAAATCAGACAAAGTACAAAAAAAAAATCCCTACAGACTAGCATCACCTGTGAACTTAGAAGCAACCCCCCCCAAACAAAACATTAATCAACTAAATTCAAAAAATCTAAAAATTATATACCATAGAATTTATTCTAGGTATGCAAGGATACTCTAATAATCACAAATTAATCCATGTAATCTACCATATCAATAAACTATAAAATTCATATGATCATGTCTATTGTACAGAAAGAACAGTGGACACTAATTGATAGGATAGCTGGGTGTGGTGGCGCACGTCTGTAATCCCAGTGACTTGGGAGGCTGAGGCAGGAAGATCACAAGTTTAAGGCCAGCCTCAGCAACTTAGCAAGATCCTGTCTCAAAATAAAAAATAAAAAAGGCTAGCAATGTGGTTCAGTGGTTAAACATGTCTGGGTTCAACCCCTGGTACCAAAAGCAAACAAACAAACAAAACCCAACAAGATAAATCCATTCATGATTAAAAAAAAAAAAAACTCAACAAATTAAGGAAGGAGGGAACTAAGAACAGAGGAAAACTTCCTCAGTTTAATAAAGAGCATCAACAAAACACTCACGGCTACCAAGACACCTACTGGTGGAGAACTGAACACTTGCCCCTAGTGTTGGGAACAAGGGAAGACGTTCTCTCACCAACTTGTGTACCATAATACAGGCACTTCAATAAGGCAAGAAAAAGAAGACACCTAAAGATTAGAAAGTGAGGAATAAAACAGTCTCTATTTGCCTACGACATAACAGTCTACCTTGAAATTCTCAACAAAATCTACCCAAAAAATTGCAAATTAAAACTTTTCTAAGACACCACTGCACATCTATCAGAATAATCACATATAACCAAATGCTGGCAAAGATGCAAAGATGTGCATCGCGCACACACCAGTGGTGGGTACAAAATGGAACAGACACTCTGGAACAAAGATTTTGATTATCTCTTATAAAACTGAACATGAGATTATCATTGTTCTCTTGGGCATTTATCCCAGAGAAACGAAACTTACCACCACCCATAAGCTTGGGCAGGAATGCTCACAGCACTTCTATCTGTAATAGCCCAAAGCTGGAAACCGTCCAGGTGTCCTTTAACCAACAGATGGTTAAGTTATGGCACATACACACCATGAAATACTGCTCAGCAAACAGAATGAACAAATATTAATGTACATACGACTCAGATGGACCACATGGATATTATGTTGAGAAAAGCCAATCTCAAAAGATTACACGTTATGTAATTCCATTTATAAACGTCAAAATGTTTGAAATGACAAAAATTCTAGAAATGAGAACAAATCCCCAGGGGGTTAGAAAGCTAAGGTTGGGGGTGGGTATAGCTACAAAAGAGCATCAGCAGAGATCCTTGTGGTGATGAAAGTGTTTGGCTTCACTGCATCTAGTTAACAACCTGCGTGTGATACTGCAGGATAGTTCTGGAAGACAGAGCACATCACTGAGTAAAATGTAAAATGGCTACAAAAGGTCTACTAAGAACGGAGCAAAACTTCCTCAAAACTTCCTCAAAGAGCATCAAGAGTTTCTTATAACTGCACATTAAGTCCACAATGATCTCAAAACAAAAAGTTTAATTAAAAATCATTATTATTATCGTACAGCTGTAAAGTGACTTGGGGACACGAGGTTAGGCGGGAGTTTCAGGCTTCTCCAGCACAGGAGGCCGGCCAGGGCAGGCGAGGAGCTGGGCGGAGGCGGGCCTGGGTCCTCCGGCCACGCAGCTTGGCTCTTACCAAAGCCAAGCCTGAGGAGCCTCACCGAGGAGAGCGCCACCAGCAAGAAGCACACAGGCAGCGATGGCTGCGCAGGTCTGGGAGCCCGTGGCCTAGGCCCCCCGCCCCCCACCCCCGAAAAACCAGGCTCGTGCTCCACACGGGGAACCTGGGCCACTCCGTGGCTTCCCCGCCCCACGTGGTGGGGATAAAGCTCACTGCTCTCCTCTTTCCATCAGAGGAGCTGATGTGTATCAGGAGCAGATGTGTATCAGGAGCAGATGTGTATCAGTAGAACCTGGCCTGACAGAAGGAGTCCTGGATTGGGTTTTGGTGGTGGCAAGAGACCACCCATGATCCCGTCTGGCGGAGAAAAGGCGTGGCAGAAAGGACCCGAGTAGGCCGACACTCCTTCGCAAGTCACAGCACACCCATGGAGGGGCACAACAGGGTCCTACCTAGAGGAGGGGAGCCGGCGGCAGTGACTAAGGGAGGGCCAGATGGAGGAAGGAGGCGGAGCAGCTGGGCTGAAGCTGAGGGAAGGGCTGGGCCGCGGCATGGAGACGATTCCTGGAGATGGAGAGTTTTTCATTTGCATATTCCTAGAGCCGGCCCAGACTGGCACTCCATGGCTGCTCCTCCTGTTCTCAGCACACCGCTACTGCTGCTCTCACTCCACAGTAATCAAACAGGAAAACAGAACAAGACAAAACATCCTCCCCCACACAAAAATCCCAGGAACGAGCGTATTTAGAAACACAACTCTCCCTGGGCTTGCAGGGTATATTCCAGGCTCTAAGGAGCGTGAGCGGCCTGGACAGCTCCTGGGTTCTCCCATTGGTTTTGTCAATCTCTCTCCCAGTGGAATTCTAGAATGAAGTCAAGAAAGAGACCACATTCCAAATGGCCACATTCCAAATAGAATCAAGGGGACCAGGGGTCAAGCATGTGCATCACCCAGGAGAGCAGCTCTCTGCAAGGCCAAGGCCAGGGCCTGGCCCTTCCTTCCTTCCTTCCTTGTCTACTTAGTATGACAACAGACAAGGACTTGCCCTCCAGGCAGCCTCTGAAAGTGGGGAAGAAAAACTCCAAGAAGCTAATCAGAAAATCCTCAGGAAATCCTACAAGACTTTAAAACCCCCATCATGGTGGCCAGGGGAGGCTTCTCTGAGGAACTGACATTTGAATTAGAGGGACCAATGAATAGATAGGAGTTGGCCTGCCGAGCTTGGGAAGAATGCTCTAGGCAAAGGGGTCCGAAGAGGGCAGAAGGGAAGCAGCAGGTGGCTCGGAAGGAAGGAGAGTGAGAGAAGGCTGGGGGTGGACCTCAGGCTTCAAGGACCCATCAAGGATTTTGTTCTTTATTCTGGAGCTGTGGATATTCACTGATGGGTTTTATTTTTAAGAATTAAAAATATTTTTTTCTTACTGTGGTAAAATACACATAAAATTTACCATCTTAACCACACTTAAGTGGACAGTTCAGCGACAGGAAGGACACTTGCACTGTTGTCCAACCATCACCACCGCCCCTCTCTAGAACATCTTCATTTTCCCAAACTGAAACTTCACACCCTTTTTTGACAGTAATCCACATTTGACAGTATTTTAATTTTCCAAAACTCCAAAAATCTGTTAACATTTATGTAAGTTTTATTCAAGAGGTAATATTTAAGAAGAGGTGAATTCTAAAAGAAAAATTTACCAGTTAACCACCCTACAGTAA